TTTTTTATTTCATTCACTTCCTACTTATAAGGTAGCATTTCAACCTGTAAACGTTGTTTCCTCCAGTTCAGCCAATGGCTTGGAATATCACCTTGTCCTAATTCCACGGTGTGAGTGGTCCCCTGGCAGGTCGAGGAGTCGTGGAATCACTGGGACTGGGTTCCAGCCCCCAACCAGGCAGGCTTCCCTGGGATTCCCTCCTACATTCCTGTTGATGATCAGCAAGGAAACGGATCACTTCTCTATCCACTTTTTCAAAGATCAGACCTACCTCGTTTATATGTCAAGGTAATCTTCCCAAGTATAATAACATGTTTACCATTTTCCTATAGTTTGCCAAATGCCTGCCATTCATCTTTTCCCTACCTCTAAAATTCCTTTCTTTTTCACATTATCTTTCTTCATTGATTCTTATTGTAAAAACAAAACAAAAAACAAAGATGTGGATTTGTTGTGCACATTACCAGGTCCATACAGAAAAATGCAGAGGTTTTATACTCCACTTACAGTAACAGCTCAGAGTACAAAGTCAAGAAGGAAGAATCTGAAGTATTAGACTTGCTCTGAAATAAGCCCACATAGGGTGACACTACTGTAACTTTATCAGAGTTTTCCCTCACTAATTTTTCAATGTGGCGAATATAAAAATTTCAGTTAAAATACATAGCAGTCACTCCATATACTGCTCCCCCAACCCACCCAACTTCTCAGTAATAGGGCCTTTTCTAATCTTATTCCCCTTTAAATTTAATGAAAAAGGCTAAAAAGTCATGTTTTTGTAATGTATCCCCACCCCCCAAAATATTGTGATTTACACAGATTTTAAGGTGTTTGTAGAGATATCTTATTGAAGGAACAGAAATGATAGAAATAGGAATAGAAATATTTCGCAGTAAACATTGAGTGAAAAGCAATTTTAAGCCCAATCTGAGGTTATAAACTGCTGTTTCAGGGACACAACTGCTATAAATTAGTCAACTGTAGCAACCATCCAAGACAATAAAAGAAAGCCCATGACAGTCTGTCATGTTACGCTGAGTGTGTATCAAAGTTCATCATGATTTTTTGTGAGGTCTTCTCCATAATTGGTAGCTTGGCTCCCAACAAACATATTCCAGTTCTCCAATATCTCCTCTTTAGTTAGCTTTTCATCCTGCCGGGGAGAGGAAAGAGCTGTTATCGAAGCTCTAGTAACTGAATAGCATGAAGCTCTATGTTAGTTCACTGATTTGCAACATTTGAAACGCTACACTTATTAATTAAGAAGCTGCTAGGTACCTCTTTCATCTACCATTGCTGCACTGTGAAACCCCAAACTGCAACTGCCTCCTGCTGTAAATGCTGTGCAAAAATATATTAGGTAAGTCCCCCAGGAATTCAGAAGCTCGACCAACTGTCTACAAGCAGTGCTGACATTCCCAAAAAGGGCCTTGAAGAAGTCCACTTCCCTTTCATGGACCACACCACACAATTGTCTCCTAAGAGTTGGAGCAGTGATCAAAGTGGAAAAAGGCAGGTCTTTATAAATCCTGCTTACTTATTTATGTGGATATGTATCAATAGATATTGAAGTGCTGGGCACAGAGCTAGAAGTGTGCGCTTGCCTGAGGATGCCTTATGTTTTCATGGGCTGGACTTTCTTGTGCCTGACACATCATGGATGTTGGATAAATATCTGCTGACTGAATGAATGGATGAACAAAGTTGTCTTAAGGCAATGCAGGGCGTGTCTCTTAAATCCATGCCCTGCCCACAGCAAACAAAATTCTGCAATTCTAGGAAATGGGAGTGAATGTAAGTCTGTGGCCCATAGCTGACTCTCCAGGAATGTCTTGACCTAATGATCTCACTGTGGATTATCATGGTATTGGGTCAAGTTTACAGGTCTCTGAGGTAGGGCAAGAATGAGAAATGTCAATAAGGCCCAGGGGCACAGGCCAATGCTATCACAAAGAAGCAAACAGAACCAATCTTATGTAAACTGTCTCCCTTCAAAGACTGACTCCAGAAGAATGTGAAATACCCTGTTTTTGTCCGACTCATACACCAGGTGTCTGGCCTCAGCCTGTGCGTGGTCATAGTCTTGGGGGAGGATCCAGTGGCGAATCTCATCCTTGTCCAACTTCCCATCCTTGTTCAGGTCCCTGAATTCAGTAAACTGCTCCCGTTCTGACAAAACCCAGTCTGGCTCAGGGCCATTCTCCTCGTGGGAAAACATATCCGCTGGAAAGGAAGGTTGATCTTGGTTAGGAAGACAGGTGGGAAGGTACATCAAAGAAAACCTGAGTTCCTGAGTTTTTGGAAGGACAATGACCAATCTAGAGACCTAACCCAGACATCTGGTGGGCAGTTTCTTGAGAATAATATTGCAATGATTTATCCACTATGAAAGTCGCTTGGTGGAATAGAAAGAACTGAGCTTAGGAGCCAGAAGATAAAAGATGACTCAGTTCAGTGACTAGGATTAAGTTACCCATTTCAATGGCTGAATCTTAAATTGCCTTGTCTGTAAAATAGAGATGATAATAATTTACAAATCACAGGGTTATTATGAAGGTCAAGTGGGACACTTTCTATGAAAGCCCTCTAAACCCAAACTAGCACTATACAGGTGGAAACTCATAACCACCATCAAGCACCATCTATGGTCCAGATACTTTATAATGTACTTTACATACACAACAATCCTATGAAGTAGGTCTTGTTATAATTTCCACTTTATAGATGAAAATACTGAGGCCACAGCTAGTATGAGCTTGAGGTTGCATAGAAACATGGGCTTATCTACCATGTTCATTCCTATTGTCATTTACATAATTTCCAAAGGGTTTTCACGTATATCACTTTATTTCATTTTTATAACAATTCTATAAGATAGATCATGATCCCTGTTTTACAAAATGGCAAAAGGAGAAAAAGGCAAAGTTTATGCACTGTTTTCTAAATTACTAGATTATCTTAGAAAAGAGAGATACCCTGTGGGCAATTTCTCTTTAATGGAAACACAACTTGGGAATGTCAGGTGGTACAGGGAGTAGGCAGTGAAGGTAAAAGAGAGGTAAGACCCTTGGTTCTGCTACAAGGGAGAATCACACCTGATATCTGCATAGTGTTTTTGAGAAATGGCTGTCACATACATTAGCTACCTTGAGCTCCATCCAGTTCTGGAAGCATGGGTGCTGTGTATTCCCATTTTACAGATGAAGAAACTGAGGCT